GAAACAGACTCCTTATCTCTTCATGGGGGAAAGTCAAAGTGTTTATGACTCTCTTTAATACAGTACTTTCTATGTGTATGGTGCCATTACAGGGGATAGAGTTGCAACAGTAAAGACAATATGATTGGCTCTTGGAGGACTGAGAAAGTTCACAGAAAATATTAGCAAGTGCTATGGGGAGAGATAGTAGAGGAAAGGAGTGTGCAGAGGAGGGGGCTGGAGGGAGGTTGTGAAAACTGGAGTGAGGTGACAGACCTGCAGGAGGTGGAGGGCAGCTCCGAACTGCAGGCCTCGGGTACAGCAAGCATGAAGGTCATGATTTGAGTACATACCTACAATGTAGAAGCCCGACCAGGACAGTCAGTTACCAGAACAGAAAGAGTGGGGCGAGCGGAGAACTCTGAGGTAGGCAGGATTTATCTGGAGTCAGGTTGGGCTCAAAGCTTATCATCATACTTTTGTTTTTGAGGCAAGATCTCATAGGGAGCCCTGCCTGATGTGGGACTCAACTGTGTAGACCAGGATGGCTTCAAACTCAGAATTCTGTATGCCTCTACCTCCCGAGTGCTGGGATTAAAGATATGCACCACCATACCTCCATCATAAATTTTGAAGATAAAATAGATTAACTAAGACAATGCCTGGAACATGATTTGGGTCATGGTAAGTGCTTGCCCCAATACCTTGTGGTCCATTGACCCTAAATGTGGGAGGATTCCAGTTCCTCCTTGTTGCTTTGCCTACTTCTCAATCACAGCTACTTCTCTGACACTAGTGTGTGTACACTCTGATCAGAAACAGCAACAGGATCCCAAGGGGAAAATTTAATAAAATCCTGTTGTTGGACAGGTTAATCCTGCCTCTTCTGTAACAGCTTTCGGGAGGTAGATGGACTTTGCCCTGGTAGATATTCTGATGTGGAAGAATTGACTCTGTGCTTTGTAAGTGCACACCTTGGGTGATTCTCTTTTTTTTAATCTTTAATTTCTTTTTTAATGTATATGAGTAATTTGCATGCATGTATGTCTATACATTACTTCCATGGCTTGTGCCCACAGAGGCAGAAGAAGGCATCAGCTCTCTGGGTGTTCGAGTTGCAGATCCCTGTAAGATGCCATGTGGTGCTGAAAAATCAAGCCCAGTCCTCTAGAGGTGCAGTTGGTGATTTTAACTCCTGCATCTTCTCTAGGCCCTTTGTAGATGATCCTTAAAAGAACAGCTTTTGTTTGAACTGCTCTTGAAAGCACTGTGATTCATAACTAGCAAGAACAGCTTGCAAGTGGGAAAGGAGTATAGTTACTTCTATACAGACATGGTTGGCCATCAAGAAGATGCAAATTTAAACATTTATGAAGAAGCCTTTCCTATCAGTTCCATTAGGAAACATCTTGGAAACTGATATTGACAGGGATGTGAGGGAAGAAAGCATGAGGCTTTGTTGCGGTTGTTTGGTTGTTTGTTTGGTTGGTTTTTGTCACTACCTATTTGGAAGAATCCTCAAAATATACATACCCTTTTGACCTAGAAATTTCTCTCAGGGTTGAAAAATCTAAAGCTAAAAGATATCCACAGCAATAAAAAGCAGTAAACTATAATAACATGTTTTGTGGAGGCTCAGATAGTTGGAGACCATACGCAATAAATTTTGCTGTATTCGTTAAGATTGCTAAATGAGAAGATTATGTGGGATTGTTTTGTTTTTTTGTTTTTGTTTTTGGAGACAGGATCTTGCTCTGCAGAACTACCTGACCTGGAATTTTCTCTGAAGACTAGTCTGGCCCGGTTTGAGGCATCATACCAGCTTTCCTTTTTCTTTTTTTTTTTAATTGTTGTTTTTATGTCTTTATTTCGTTTCTGCATGTTCTTTGTAAGTCATAGTATAGCAGAATAAATAAAAATGGAAAAAGTTGAAACCAAAGTTAACATAATGTAGAAGCTTATTGCAGTTGGAGAAGGTCCAAAAGAAGCATTCACAACTCAAACGTGGCTTAAGTTGTTGGCAGGACTGGCTCATTGGTTATTATTCTGTTACTGGTGCTTTAGCATTACAGCTGGTTGTGTCTGGATTCTGCATTTTCACGTTTAACCAAGCTTGAGTGGAAAATTGTGTCTGTGTTGAACATGTAGAGACTTCTGGCCATTATTCTCTCACAGTATTTTGTAACAGCTGTGCACAGCATTTGCAGTATTCTAATTGGAGGATGTGGGCGTTTTCTCTACAACTATTATACTGTTATAGGAAGGACTTGGGTGTTACTTTTGGTATCCTTTGGGGTTCTGGAGCTAATTGCCCAGAGACATTAAGGGACAGTTTTGTTTATAGAATTAAAAACAAAGATCTGACCAAAAAAATCTTTAACCCCGCTCCAGAATTAGATTTTGGTTTACTGCTTAGAGTCCATGATCTTTGTGATCTTATTCTGAATTAAGGACCCAAGATAAAGATAACCTTATCTTTTTCCCTTGTGGGGAGCCAGCATTTAATTTAAAAATATTTTTGTTTCTTCCCAATATTTGAGTCTCTGATTTTGTGATTGTTTACAAAATGGTAATTGTGTTTTCATTATTTCTTATTTTATAGCTTAATATCCTTGAAAAAATATACTTGTTTCTTCTTTTCTAGCTGTTTGTCCATACAGGAAAAATTAAACACAAAAATAACAAAAGGAGTTTTATAGACACCTCAGAAGGCGTTTGTTTCGTGTTTCAGGTACAACAGCTTATCACAGTACAGATTTAGTCTTTCTGGAAGTCAGAAGTCTGAGACATGGTACAAATGGAGGCTGTTCTTATGGGTTGGATTCCTCTTAAAGCTGTAGATTCTGGAGGCTGACTGATTTCTGAACCAGTGACCTCTTTCCATCTTCAGTGCTATCCATGGTTGCTAGAGACATCTTCTGCCTTCCCTTCCATCTCCATGGGCCCTTGTGCTTATATTGGAGCCACCTTGATAACCTAGGATGACATGTGCCCTTTAAAGTCATATGATAAACAGCTTGACTTCGTCTGTTAACATTTATTCATTTTTGCCATTTAGGGATTGAAGCAGGAACATCTCTGAGAAGCAATTATTCTGCCTAGCAGAGCAACCAAAAGTGTTTTTTATTTGTTTTGCTTTTTGAAGTAGTATGAATTCACAGATTTCCTCACCCTTGCCATGCATGTGTGCATGTTGGGGATTGAACTCAAGGCTTTGTATGTACTAAGCTTCTTCCACTAAGCCATATCCTTAGCACTAAATGTAGATTTTTGATGTATTTGAATTACTTGCTCATCCTTACAAAAATTCTATTTTCTCCCCTCAGTAGTGGGAAAGCGTATTCTGGTTTGTTCCCTTGGATGTGCTTGTTGTTGTCTTTGGTCCCTTCCTTCCTCTTGAGTATGAAAAGATGTCTGGAGTCATCTTGTATGCTCCTGTCCCAAGTCTGCCATTAGTCATTCTTTCTTGTGAGATGAGCTTCCTTAGTGCTCCACAGCTACCTGAAGCGCTGTTAAATAGAGAGGCCATGGGTCTGCCTTTCCAGAGGTCTGCAGCATTAGTGTCAGGATGTAGGTGATTCTGTTTTAGGTACTAATCTTTGGGACCACAGAAAAAACACGTTTTTAATGGGAAATGGTCGAGAACGCAGTATGGATGGCAGCAGGACATTGATACTGGTCCTTCAATGGAAGGAAGGAAACAGCGAAGTGTAAGTGCATGTGGATAGCTCAGATTCAGATTTACAGTGAGTCTAACTTTGTTTGTTTGTATATCTTTCCTATTGTGTTGAAAGTCCTAGATGTAATGACATTAATAAATCTTCGTTTAGTAAATACATACTATGTATGTACATGTACTTTAGAATACCATTACTAGTATTATTATTTATGATACACTTACTTCAAGCACTTTAAAGTTTTCTGTTCCCCTTTGCCTGTGGAGATATACCTCAGTGAGGGTGTTCTCATCAGTCCACTGTCAGGTTACTGAAACAGTTTCTGTTTGTTCAACCTGTCAAAGTTAGGTAAAGTCAGACTCATTGTGACTTTGTTTGCTGTATTTTCAGTTCAGGGGAACTTTAAAGGAGATAATTGTGTAAAATTTTAAGTGGTCACATCTGTAAAAGTCGTCCTGTCTTTTCTTCTTTTTTTTCTATCCAGCTCTCCTCTGTCTTACAGGCAACCATTTAGTTTATGTTACGGTGAAAATATGTGGCAGTATGTTTTCCTTTCTCATTTCTCCTGGCTCTCCTTCCTCAACGTCTACATTAATACATTCTGGAGATTACTCTGGGACATCTTCAGAGAGACCTTGTTTCTTTTTCCATGCAGCGTAAGTGTTCTGTGGTGAGATTGCCCCACAGTGTATTCCTCTTGGTGCACACTGGGTTCTTTGCAGCTGTCTGCTTTTCCAAATAGTCACTGTCACAGAGTCAACCTCATAAGTACCTGCTTTAAGGTAGTAACAGTCTTACTCTGTATTGTTGTATTTTCCTGTCTTTTACAAAACTTCCTACCAAAATTATTTGTGTGTTGTTGCAAGTTCTTTATGACCACTGTGAAGGCCTTTCCTGGTTGGTTACTTGTATTATAGAATCGCAGGGACGTGCCCCTCTGTTTAGGGTCCTCTCAGAGTGCTCCCTCAGTTGGATAAGCTTGGAGGAAGTAACCAGCGCTGTATTATGCACACAGCTTGATTATATTGTTCTCTTTACTTGTAATTGTGTTTTTAAAAATATTTTTTCTCTACTATTTTCTCTTATTTTTTCTTTGTTTCAGACTGTTTGGTTTTTTTGGTTTTTCAGCATTATAAATAATACCATGTATATAAAGGCTTTTTAAAATTTGTGATGTTCTGAAAATTGGTTTTTGTAAAACTCTGAACGAGAAAGAAGCCTGTATTTGTTAAATACAGTGATCAGCTTGTTCTTGTCATAGCTTGAGAAGTGAAGTCGGTAAGAGATTGTCACCTTGAACTCTTTAGCCAGTAAATTCCATTTTTCTTCTTTTTCTTGTGGTAGGACCTTAGAAATGAAGTTGAAAAACTAAGGAATGACGTGAATGGGAGAGAGAAGGTAGTGGAAAAACATTACAGGAGTCTGCCGAACGAAAGCAGTACAAAGCTCCACACTGCAGAGGAAGTGCTTGGGTGTCTAAGAAAAAGTGGAAGTCAAAAGAATCTGCTGCTTCAGGTAGGATGCCATTTTTTCCTTTCATATCTCAGTCACTTTTTAATGCAGTAGTTTATCCTAAACTCTTGCAAGGACTCTTTCTTTGAGACAGAGTCTCTTGTAACCCTGGCTAATCTCAGACTCACTTTGAGGCTGGGATGACTGTGAGCCTCTGACTGTCCTGTTCCCACCTTTGGTGCACTGGGATCCGAGCTGTATCCCACCACTGGCTCCTTAACAGAGTTCACCCCTGTCTGTGGTACTTAGAGCTTCCCTTACGTTTGTCATGTTCCTTGGCTGGTAGGAAGGGAAGTGCTTACCCAGGTCACATGATAAATGCAGTACCCTAGCTGGATTTGCTCCTATGCCCAGCCCACTCAGTGAAGGCAAGTACTTAGGCAGTAGTCCTTCACTCCTTTGCCCATTTCCTCTCCTGTTTAGTCTTGGAATTCCCTTGTTATTTGATTAATATATTGAATTTCTGAGATTCAACCCAGGTAACAGTGTGTATTAAGTCTAGGTATTTAATGTCGCCACCTACTACTGATACTTCATTGAAACCAGAGTGTAGAGGCGGGAAAGAGTATGTCCACAGGGCTGTGTAAGAGACCTGTACAAAAGAAGCTGGGAGTTAACAAAATTTTTGATGTTACATGTGTTTGGACAAGTGGGACCTATGCAAGGTTCAGTTTCACCACTGTGGCACATAATAGAGACTAGCCAGCAAGAATCAAGCTGACTTAAGCTACAGCTCAAGAAAGGCTCAGCAGACATAAGATGTGACCAATGCCTTTGAATCAGGAGATTTAACTGAGATTTGAGGCAGGTCTAGGTGACCTTCTTCCTCTCCAGCAAGAGATCTCTGGAGAATGTAAAGTAGAGGAGTGCTGACCTGGGGGCCACGGGAGGCAGAAGAGACTCACAGAGCAGAAATGGCAATGGAAGGAGTCAGGTGAGTGAACTGTGCGGACCCCAGCCAGGGAGACACCTCCTCGGGAGAAAAGGGTGAAAGATTGTGGAAGCTGACGATTCTTACAGCTGGTTTTCACCTGTCCATCTCCTAGGAAGTCTACTTTGTTCTGTCCATTTCCACACTCACTGAGTTTCTGAGCACTTTATTATTTAAAAGGTGAGTGGCCTAAGTTCATCAAAAGGGAGAAAATGTTGAAGAGGCAAGTCAAAGGCTTAAGAGAATGGAGGTACATAGAAATTGGGACAGGTGGCTCTGCCTGTAATCCTAGCACTTGTAAGGCTGAGACAGGAGGGTCATGAGTGTGAGGGCAGCCTGGGCTATTGAATGAGACCTTATCTAAAGGGAATGGGGGAGAGTTTTTAGTAGAAATGCAACAATGAAAATTATATAGCTTTTTAAACCTACAAAAATCTGGCAACAAAACCATATAAAATAGGAAGTAAGATCCGGATCCATGGGAATGACTCAGTGGGCATAAGTACTTGTCATAGAAATCTGATGACCTGAGTTTGATTCCCAGAACCCACATAGAGGTGGAAGGAGAGAATTTGCTCCATATAGCTGTTCTCTGACCTCCACTAGTGCTATGGCACACATGCTGTGATATACACACTCAGACACAGACACACACACACACACACACACACACACACACACACACAGAGAGAGAGAGAGAGAGAGAGAGAGAGAGAGAGAATAAAGATCAGAATCTAATACAAATAAAGATATCTAGAAAAGAAGAAATGGCCTATTAGAAATGCAATATATGATTGCTGACTTAAACATTTTCAGCACTAGGGTTAGAAAGTCGAAGATAAAAGTTGTGTACGTCGTCCACAAACATAATTAAACAAGAAGATAGGGAAAAGGTAAAGATAAGAAAATTAGAGGCATGGGTCAAGAGTTCCAAAATATGACTAACTGAAACTCCAGGAAGCAGAGCAGGCAAAGCAGGTCCAGGTATCAGGGGCCACGTCCCAGAATGGAAGGACAGCTGTCCCTGCGCAAGGGATAAAGGAAGACCCATAGGCTGAGGCATTGTGATACTTCAGAGCTTGGTGATTAAGAAAGGATCCAGAGAGGGGAGCAACATAGACCGTGCAGGAAGAACTGGGACTCAGAGTGACATCAGAACTCCCAACAGCTGCTTTAAACACTGAAGATATGGGTGATGCTTTCAGACTTTAAGGAGAAATGATTTCCAAACTAGCATTCTGTCTTCAGCTAGTCTCTGCCGTCCAGTGTGAGAGCCGAGCAAGGTATTTTTCAGGTATGTGGTATCTTAAGGTGTCTTGCATGCGCTCTTCAGGAAGTTCTTGGCAGAAGAGCCATATAGACAATGGAATTAACACAGGAGAGATAAAGGATCCAGAGAATAGTGGTTTCCCCAGGATGTGCTGAAGGGAAGTCCAGAGTGACAGCTGTGCTAAGTATAGAGTCCAGGTTTGGGTCTTTGAGGGAGGGTGTCATCTGGCACTCCTCTGGGAAACTAGCAGAACTGATCTATTACTGTTATAGTTGACCCTATTGGGAGGGATTTAATTTTTTTCTTAGAATTTGGAGAAAATTTGCAGTTTATAATAATTTTATGAACTAAATAGGCAAATAGAACAAACTAGTTACTAATTCCAAGAGTTCAGAGAACTGAATGTGACTAGCAGTGTGATCATGAATGCTGCATTGCTCAGCAGTGTTTATGTGGCTATAATGAAATACAAATATTGTTTCAACTAGTTATAATACAGTTGTTAGGAAAGGCCTTGAGATGCAGATGATTTGTAGAAGAACTAAATCCCAATACTCCTGATTGGAGCCAGTTGGTAAAGTTGAAATGTAAGAAATCAAGAACCACAAGAGTGAGAATGTCGTGGTGACACCTGAAGGCAGAGCAGAAGTTTCACCTAAGGAATTGCAACTTGGTTTTGCCTGGGAGTGAGCCTTTGAGGTGAGACCTGTTCCCTTGTTAAGCTTTCCAGTGTAGTTTGCTTGGTGAAAACATGAGAACAATGAAGGTGCAGTTGTGTCAACAAAACCCTAGAGTGGCAGTGTTGGCCGATATCTAGTTTTTCCCATTATAGTTCAGTGGGCTCTTACAGAGCATTGCCCATTTCTTTCTTTGTGAGTACAGAATTCTTTCTAAATGATTGGCATGTTAAATTAATTCTGTTCCATGCTCAGGAGGTAGATGTGGATCTTATCCCTTGCTTTCCTTCAAAGAGTGAAGATTAGGAATAGATATTGTACTTGAACTTGGCCAGAGACCAGAGATGCAGTCTCTTAGACCTGTTGTATTATTGGATTCAGGCTTCTTAGGGGCCAGGGAAGGGACTGCACTGTGTGTTATGGAGGAAGAGCCTCATGTATGAGCACACCTCAATGCTTATTTGCAGTCCCGGCCTTCTTTGCCTTGTGTATGTCAGTGGTTTTGTGTTTATAGTTTCAGAGGAGACTAAGACTTTGTTGGATGTAAATATGTAAGCTCTCTAATGACCTGGCATGTTGACTGAGTAAGAAATGGATCCAGGGGTCATGAAATGAACAGGGTAAACCAAGGGATGGTACCAGCTCATTGGATCAGAGTACTGTATCCACAAAAGGACAGTCACTGTGGCTAGTAAAGGCAGTTCATGGACAGCCACCATCCTTGGTTACCTTGCTGGTATGCTGCTTGCCCTCACCCAGTCGTGGTATGCAGATAATGTTGCAGAACAGCAGTGTAGTTGCCTAATGTTTGGGGATGATGGAATTATTTAGGGGACATACAAATTTTGTGGCAAAATAAGATATCTTCCCTTAAAGAGTTTAAGAACTATACACACACACACACACACACACACACACACACACACACACACACACATGTACAGTGTATGTGTGTATTGGATAAAAACTTCCTTATGGTTAGTTTCATTTCCTTAGAAATCCAGTGAAAAAGATTGGGAAGTAATACAGCAAAACTGTTATTTAATGACTGCAGAGGAGCTTAAGTTTGGGAGCGATGGCTTAGGAACAGAAAAGTGTTCTCAGCAGTCACCAGGCAGCAAACTCATCTTCTCTAAGGCAAACTTGACTGAATTTGGGTGTCCACATGCGAATGTATTCATGTTACTTTCTGAAACTTCTCTGATGACTCCTTTGATAGTGCGTCTTACTGGTACTTTAGCTTGCAGTGGGTGGGGTGGGGACGCTTTGCTAGCCATTCTGCAAATTGTTATCTTTGTTTGGTCATTCTGGTTTGTTGTGCACCTGATACCAAGAATTTCTAGCTTTTCTTGGAGAGGAATCGTGTATCAAGGATCCTCTCTTGAGAAATGTTGGATTCTAAGCAGTAGGGAAGTTGTCCTGATGAAATGCTGTCTCTTCCTCATCTGGCCCCCATTGTTGGTCTAGTCTCCTTTGCTCTTAACAAACTGTAGTGCTTGCCAATGCCTGAAAGCACAGTTGATGCTCTGTGTGCCTTTGTTTATGTCTGCCCATCTAACCCCTGAGTATCCCTGCAAACACCTGTCTAGGCTAACCTTTCTTGATCCCACAGCACTGTACTGCCCCCTCTTTTGTAGCATATGCTCTTCCTCTAGTTGTTGTCCTTGGCTCCACCTCTCTGCTTATCCTACCCTGCACCAGGTGAAGCACCATTGGCTGGCACTTTAGGGGTGAGAGTAGGTGCTTATCTCTGAATCCAGTGCTTAACCCTATACTTGGCTCTGGAAATGTGAGTTTAGTGATTACATGAATGAACTATATGAATGAATATGGCAACCTGACCCGCAAAAGAAGAGGTGTTAAGTGTAGGACAAGTCCTTTAAATCTTTTTTAAAATTAGGCAAATTGGTTCCCTGATGAATGGTTGATTGTGTCTTATGGTTTTATGAAAGGTGTTTCTCAAAATAATTAACAAGCTGGACAGCGTGGGCATCAGCCACTGGACAGATGTAAACACTTAGACTGGTGTAGAGCTGGAGGCTACCCTGGGCCATACCACCCTGGCAGTTATTTTATTGTGGAGTGGACCTTTTAAGGGCCCACAGCAGGAACCAAAGTGGCTATA